TACTTGAGAGAGGAATCTGGGTTTGTTTGTTTCCTGTCTGTTCTGTTTGGTGTGGCATGGTACTAGGGAATGAACCCAGGTCTGCCTCTGAGACATATATCCAGTCCTCTTTATTTTTCATTTTGAGACAGGGACTCACTACATTGCCCAGTTGGCCTCAAATTTGAAATCCTCCTGCCTCAGCCTCTAGAGTAGCAAGAATCCCAGATGTGCACCACCATGCCCAATAAGAGAGATTTTTGAAAGATCTCAATACAAAGAAATTATATAGTTCTGCAGTTATAGGTATGCCAATTGCCCTGATCTGATCAGTACATATTGTATACATGTTTTGAAGTGCCACACTGCATCCCATAAATACATACAATGAATTCATTCCAATATAGAAACTACACTAATTTTTAAAAAGAATAAAAGAAAAGAGTCTTCTCTGAATTTCCAGTTAGATAAGATCACTGCTACCATTTTTCTATCTAGCTTTATATGAACCATCATTCAACTCCATGAGCCCAACGTGAAAAGAGAGGTCTATGTATGTCCTGAGTCTCCAGAAGTCCTGCAGTTTAGATGGTTTACTATGAAGACTAAGCAGTCTGACCACAGAGTAGCACAATCACATATCATTCTATCTACTCTCAAGAATACTGAGCTGCAGAAAAAATCAGGTGAACGGTCCAGCAAGAAAAAACAGGGGCTGTGTTTGCAGGTGGCCTTCATCAATGGCTGGTAACAACTAGTCTCATAATTCTGATACACTAACTTCATGCCTTTGCCTACTTTTTGCCTGGATACACAAGGAATGGATATTATATTCCAGTTTCTACTGGACACTGTCATATACACAATGAAGAAACCATTACCAAGAAATGTTTCTTTAGAAAGAAGTTAAAGGATTATTCAAATAGGAAGAGAAGATGAAAGGAATCAAAAATTATTCAAGAAGAAAAAAGAGCAGCAAATCAAAAGCAGCAAAAACTAGCACTGTGCAATTAATGCCTTTATCCTCTAAAAAGGCAGCAAACAAGTTTGTATAAGACTTGTTTACCTCCATGGAACTCACACCATGTACCAAGGGACCTCAAGATGCCACTGCTATTCAAGGGATCCCCTAGAGTACATCAAATTTTTTAAAAAGACACACGGAGACCTAACTACTATTAGTAATGTAAACTAAAAGTACCAAGTTGTTTGAATGGAACTTCTTAATAAATTGTTATATTCCTATTAGCCTAGAAACATCACTAAAAAAAAATTACTGAGACATTAAGGGAACCTCTAGTTGAACCTATTTTACAATAAACTAACATCCCACAATTCCAAAATTCCTAGACTCAAATTTGGAGCTCTTTTTATACTTTTTTCTGTTTTTCCTATTAAAAAAAAAATTCCTTCAAAGTAGTAAAAAGCATGTTATGGTTTAGATATGAGGTGTCCCCCACAAAAGCTCATGTGTGGGAAAACACAGAAAAAGTTTAGAGGTACAATGACTGGGTTATGAGAACTTTAACCAAATCAGGGCATTAATCCACCTGAATGGATTAATTGAGCAGTAACCATAAGGAGGATGAGGCTGGAGGAGGTAGGTCACTGGGGGCATGCTTTTAGGGTACGCATTTTGTCCCAGAGCTTTCTCTCTGCCTCCTTGTTATCATATTCTGAACTGCTTTCCTCTGCCAGACCCTTTTGCCATGATGTTCTGCCTCATCTTGAGCCTAGAGCAATGGAGTTGGCCATCTATGAAGTGAGACCTCTAAAACATGAGCACCAAATAAACTTTTCCTCCTCTATGTTGTTCTTGTCAGGTTTTTTGGTAATCTGACCAAAAAACTCACCAAAACAGAGCATCAATACTATTTAGAAGCAGTGTAGCAAGATTTCATGACTACCTGGTAAGCATTCATGAGTGACCTAGGAGCCATGTATCATCCAGCTGGCATCCAATGAAGGTGAGTAAGCATCAATAATGCCAAGTACATGTATATAGGGTAACAATGGCTGTCTTATTCTACCTATATACTTGTATGATTACACTGCTGGTGTGACTCTGCATCATGTATAGCTAGAGAAAGAAGTTGTGCTCCATTTGTGCACAATGTGTCAGAATGGATTCTACTATCATGTATAACTAATTAGAATATATATATATATATCAAGAACAACTTTCTATACCCTTTTTAAAGACAGATGAAATGAAAACCTCAGAGGAGGAGGTATTAAGTGGAACATTTTACTACTAATATTTCCAAAAGAAATAACTATCCATTTAAGTGTTGCTCACAACACTGCCTAATTATATTTTATAGCACTAAGCAATACTTTCCTGAAATGGCAGGCTAATTTTGTGCCTAATAATCCCAGAACACTGTAGGCCAAAAACTTTAGGTCTTCAAAGACTTGTGAAGGCTTTAGTTATACAACATGTGCGTGTTTGTCCTCAATTATGTTCTCTAATGGATGCTAGGAAGTAAAATTCTATATATTGAATTATGTTTTCCTAATACAAAATTCTATATCCTAAATTATATTTTTCTAAATAATATTGTAAGACTAGAACTACTGCCAAGCGCGGTGGTGCACACCTGTAATCCTAGCAGCTGGGAAGGCTGAGGCAGGAGGACTGCGAGTTCAAAGCCAACCTCAGGGCTGGGGTTATGGCTCAGTGGTAGAGCGCCTGCCTGGCATGTGTGAGACACTGGGTTCAATCCTCAGCACCACATAAAAATAAATAAATAAAATAAAGCTATTGCGTCCAACTACAAAAAAAAAAAAAAAAGAATTTTTTTTTTTTAAGCCAGCCTCAGCAAATGGTAAAGCACTAAGCAACTCAATGAGACCCTGCTCTAAATAAAAAACAAAACAGGGCTAGGGATGTGGCTCAGCAGTTGAGTGTCCTCGAGTTCAATCCACTTTACCAAAAAAAAAGAAAAGACTGGAACTACTGTTTCTAGGAATTTTTCTCACTCTTAGACAAAAATCACTCATTTCAACAAAGTATTTCCAAGAAATTTCAATGAGCTAGGCTCTAGGAGAAGAATTAAATATACCATGTTATGGTTTAAATCTGAAATGTCTCCCAAAAACTCGTGTATTAAAGCTTGGTGGCCACTGGGAAGTGGTGGAAGTTCGAGGATGTGGAGCTAGCTGGAGGAGGTGGGTCACTAGGACATGTCTTTGAAAGGTGTATTTTGTCCCTAGCCCCTTCCCCTCCCTCTCTCCTTCAATCTGCTTCCTCACTGCCATGAGGTAAGCTGCTTTGCTCTACCAATCCCTCTGTGCCACAAAGCTCTGTTTTACCACTGGCCCAAAAACAACAAAGCAAAGCGACTATGCACTGAAATCATAAGCTAAAATACACTTTTCTTCCTTTAAGCTGACTTTCTCAGTATTTTGTCACAATGAGAGATATCTTAGCACATACCACTACTAAAATTACAGAGATTGTCAGGCAATCCGAACCACTGATATAGATACAAAATCTTAATGGTTTCAAGAAAAATCTGTTTTTCACCTGTATCGACTATTTTAATCTTGTATACAGCATAACTTTTAATACTCCCTTTCTACTTCTGTTTTTAATTATATTTAACATGTTATGAAAGAATGCATTATTAATATTTTTCAAAGTATTCATAACCTCTCTCTGGACCCATTTCTACATTCCATTATTTACCTCCCACCCTGCCACAATTCTCTGGAAAACAGGTTGAAAAGCAGTTCCCATTTGGGACATGCTGTCCTCAGAGTGGGGGGTGAGAGAGTAATGAATGGCAGGACAGAAGCCTTCAGGGCCACTGAAGTTCTGCCTTCACTCTTATTTCCTCAGCATGTCCCAAATAGGAGCTGATCTTCCAACCAGCAAGCCAGAGAGAAGGTAAATGAAGTAAAGTTACAGCTGATCCACAGTTGGAAGTAATATGAATAAAAAATAAGCTCCTGTTGCAAGCCAATGAAGTTTTGGGGTCAATACTATAGCAATAACCTAACAAACATCATACCTTTGGTATCAAAGCCCTCCATTCCCACTCTTTTAAAAGCTAAGAAATCCTTTATCTTACTATATTCACATCTCTCTTGTCTAATTTCCGTTACTGACTTCACCACTGTGGCCCAGGACATTTAAAACCTCAGTTCAACCTTTCAACACTTCCTTGTTGCATGAAACAAGTGTTTGAAGATAAAACATATATAATGCCACTAATATAAAACATGCAAAAGTACTATATACTATTTATAGATAACATATAAACACATTGTTTTGACTGACCTTAAGATATTTTTACCTCTCTTAGCTGTTTAAAGGCAAAATTTTAAATCGGAAGAGAATTGAGGGGTGACTATATAGGTAATATTGTGAGGGATGGTGAGGAGTACTGGGAATTTAACGCACTGAGACTCCACCACTGAACTACATCAGTCCTTTTTATTTTTTATTTTGAGGCAGGGTCTCACTAAATTTCTTAGACTGGCCTTGAATTTGCAATCCTCCTGCCTTGGCCTCCCAAGTCACTAGGATTCCAAGTTTGGGCCACCACACCTAGCTACAGATTAAATATATATCATTCTTCATACTCTACTTTTCTCCATACTTTGCTTAAAATATCACATTTTGAAAAGAATGATAACACATGATGCCAGTAAGATGGAGGACTAGGAACCTATAGGTTCCTCATTTCTCCATGGGGACAATAAATAGCAATATGTATAATAAAGCATTTTGGGGGAAACTTTAGAAACTAGTTATGGGGTAGCAACACCCAGTTGAGCGCATAAACAAGAGGAGATGGTAAGGAGAAGATAAGAAAGTTCACATTTTGTTTGCCCTAATTCCTCCTACCTCCAGGCATGTTTAGGCAGGATCAGGAGAATATTAACCCAACTCCTAGCTCTTCCTGTAAGAACTTGCACCTAGCATTATGGCTTATATGGGGACTGTCTGAGGAACTGGTTTCTATCTTGCCTGGCTCAGAGTATAAATGGAAAAGGTGACACAATTTGATTACCAGATGGGAGGCCAGTGAAAGCAGAGGCAAACTCCAGAGTACATTAGAGCAGCAGAGACTGTAGTTCTGAAAGCAGGCACAAAGGAGCAAGAGATTAAAAGCAGAGGAATATAACACACATGAAACCAAAACACCCTAAGAAAAAAACAGGAAATTAAAACAGTCAGAAACAACACGTATAAGGGCTGAGACTGTAGCTCGGTACTACAGTACTTGTCTAGCATGCACAAGGCTCTGGGTTCAATCCCCAGCACTGCAAGGAAAGGACAGGAGAGGAGAGGAGAAAAGAATGCTAGGATAAAAGCACATGCACAACCCCACAGAAAACATACCCCAGAAAAGGTCTGTGGTCTTAGAATCTCTAGCCAGGCTAATTGATAAATATTTTTCCCTTTATAATGCAAGTTCATAAATATTAAGAGAGGAGACTGTCTTCAACCCAATTTTCAACAAAAGATCACAAAGCATACAAAAAAAAAACACATAAACATGATTCAACCAAGGAACAGATAAAGGTCCAGAAATCAATCCTAAGAAAATATATCTATGAAGAGCCCAAGAAAAAATTTAAAGTAATAATCATGAAATTACTCAATGAACAAAAAAAGAAAACAGGTAGATAACAAATGAAATCAGGAAAATGAAGCTTGAAACGAAATGAGAAAATCAAAAAGAGAAAAGAAAAACTATTAAAAAGAACCAAATGAAAATTGTGGAACTTAGTGAGATCCTATCTCAAAAGAAAAATACAAAGTGCTGGGGATTTGGTTCAGTGGTAAAGCACTTCTGGGTTCAAACCCCAATACCAAAAAAAAACTGAAAACAGGATCTTGAAGAGATATTTATACATTCATTCAGCAGCATTATTCATAATAATCAAGAAGTACAAGCAACCCACATGTCTATCAATGGGTGAATGGATAAACAAAGTGTCTTTTATAATGCAATATTTTTCAGCCTTATAAAAGAAATCTGTCACATGCTACAACATGAATGAATCTTGAGGACAGTACCTTAAGTGAAATAAGCCAGTCACAAAACGACAAATACTTGTGTGATTTCACTTACATGAGTTATCTAAATTAGTCAAATTCACATAAACAGAGGGGAGGGAGAAATGGGGAGATGTTGTATCATTTAGTAAGCATCAAGTTTCAGTTTTGTGAGATGATAAAATCCAAAAGACTGGATGCACAATATATATATTTAACACTACTGAACTGTAATCTTAAAATGGTTAATAGCATAGATTTTGTGTGTTGGTTATCACATCATTTTTTTCAAAGTGATAAATTTTGAAACAAAATTAAATTAAATTAAATCAAATACCAAAAGTTCTATAAACTTGCAAAAATAACAAAATACAAAACTTTTAATAAAATACAAGCAAACATACCCTCCACACACCAAGAACTCATTTGAAGCACGTCTGCCAGTAGTTCCCATTGGCATGTCATCTAAGAAGAAAGAGAAAATTACAATCAGTTCTGTCATACCCCATGCTTTGAAAAAATGCAAATTTGTTCCAACATGATTATTATAAAACACTCGGAGTACAACATGAATGATCCATTTATGTTTCAATTCAACCAATGAAAATAATAGGTGAACACAGAAAATTGCACCCATCTGAATATACAGGATGTTGATCTTTCCATGCCAGTTCTACCAGCAAACTTATGGCCTTTTCCAAGGTAAACTGCCATATCTGTTGCAGTATTTAAGTATTTCTTCACCATCCAACATGTGTAGAAATTGTGCTTTTATTTTTAATTAGATTCCTTTCCATAGGTCACTGACAAGTTTTGAGTGTTACCATTTAGCTAGCCCATAAGCTCTGTGTTTTTTAAAACCTTTCCTTTTTTCCTCACTAGGTTTGTGTAATATAGTGTGTGTGGGGGGGGGGGGCTTTGTTGTTGCTGAGATAGGGCTCTCATTATGTTGCCCAGGCTAGTCTCTAACTCAGGGAGCTCAAGCGATCTTCCCACCTTAGCCCTCCAAGTAGCTGGGGCTACAGGCATGCTCCACCACATCAGGCTTGCTCTGTGGTTTTTATTGTACCATTCTGCAAAGAACACATATATCACACTATACCGGAAATTATCATATAACAAAGTCTATCTCAATCTATCTCAATCTAATGTTAAACTACCCCATCCTCCTGAATAACTCTTTTGAATATACTATGGAAGCTGAGGACTCCTGGACACAGTAGCACATGCCACAGGCCATCTTAGTCTACTCTTACGTTTCCTCTGAATGTGGGAGTACTGCACAGCTCAGAACTCAGGGACCCTTCTTTCCCTGCCACTGTTATATTCACTAACACACTGCTCTATGTCATTTTATGTGATATGCAACAGAAGTGTTGATCAAATAATAGATGTTTACAAATAAACCATGCTGCTAACCTATACTCAAAAGAGGGAAGAATCACAAATATTCTTTTGAATAACCCTACATAGGAAGTGAGACAGATGTTTATTTGTCACATCTCAGGTCCCTATTCTCAACAAGGGTATATTCTAGAAGTGAAAGAACCTAATAATGTCAGGTAGTGATTGGAAATATAAAGGAAAATAAATCAGGGCAAGGGAACAACAAGTAGTAGGATAAAAGAAGAGTCTATTTTAAAGATATTAAATAATTCCTATAAGTAGAAAGGAAGAAAAAGGGAAAAAGAGGCAAGCCTAGAAGCTAGGTTTCCCTTGTTTTGTAGCTTTGAGTTTGGAGCCACATATTATTATAAAACAAAATTAAATCAAAAGAAAACAAAACAATCCCTAGAAATCAAAAGTAAACTAAAGCCTGGCATAGTGGCACACACTTGTTGTCCCAGGTTTAAGGCCAGCCTGGGAAATAGAACAAAGCCCTGTTCCAAAACAAGAAGGGACTGGGGATGTGGCTCCGTGATACTGTATTTGTCTAGTATATGTTAGGCCCTAGGTTCAATCCCCAGGACTGCAAGAAACAAATAAAATGAAGCAAAGGAACCTAACCACAGATCATCTTGGTAGCTTAATCAACAGCAGGAAATTATTTCAAATGACTTTAAACTCAGTAATTTGTGTATCTCTAATGGATTATTCTAGAACAAAGAAACCCAGAAAGAGATTTTAAATGACTTTAGTAATTATACATTAAGTAATATTTATATTGTTATTTCAATGCAATATTGCTATTTTGAAACTCCAAAGAGAGAAAAGATTACAGCCTAAATTCACACAGATGAAAACACACACACACACACACACACACACAGAAAAGTCCACTGCCACAAAAATTTGGAAGATAGAAAGCTGGTGGACAAGTGATATTGACCTACTTGACCCAAGAAGATAGAATTTTTAACCCCAGAAGTAAAGCAACTTAATCACAGAACCCCAAAAGGCTTGAGTAATTAGCAGTACCAGAGACCTTGAAAGTAGGAACAAAACAAACAAAAAAAACCCTACAGGCTTATTTGAAAGTCTATTTAGAAGCAGTTAAAATACAGTAAATTATAACATTGTAATGTCTTTAAATTTTTTTACTAAATGAGTAATTATAACTGCTCATACCCGGGTTGGGGGGGGGGGGGACAGGTAACTATATGAGAGGATGGATATGTCAATTTTTTTCATTAGAGTACCCTTTTTACTAAATACGGATATATCTATATCATTAACATCAGATGTGTACCTTAAATAAACACAGTAAAATTTATTTTCAAAAATACAGAATATTTTTTTAAAATACAGAATTTTTAAAAAGCATTAGAATTTCATGTCCTTTCTCTAATTCAATGTAGAAAGGCCCAGACCCCACTATTGCGAAAAACTGGATGTTTCTATTGGGACAGAGTAAAACTGGGTCTCTGGATAATAGAGCACAAGGAAGAATTAAAGGCAAAGGTACTATGGTTTAAAAAGGTTAATGAGGGAAAGTAAGTAAGTGAAATTTTACACTGACAATTGAGTCCTCCTGACATACTACTTTACTGGTTCCCTTAAACAGTATCAGATTTATACTCTTTAGGCAGAAGATTGGATAAATCTTCTTTGAGGTATCTAAGTAGCCCTTCAAAAAGGAAATAGTCCAAGAAAATGCCCCAGCCATAGTACCCAGTACTATCAATCAGACCTAGCTCTATACAGAGATTTCAGTTTTTAAATCCTCCATTCTTAACTATGATAATCAAACAACAAAACAGAATATTACACCTTCAAATAAGAACAATGTCAAAGCGGGGAGACAAAGGACTGAAAATTAAAAACATGACAGCATAAATGAAAAACTCAACAGAGTGGTATTAAATAAAATTTACAGGAGGCCATTGTTTTGGTCTAAGCTCTATACTAGACCCCAACCAACAACCAGGCTAAAAATAGTCACTCATGCTGAAACTCCACCAGCAACCTGATACTTAAGCTTTTATCTGACCTTCCAAGAAATCTGGATTAGAGAGATAACAGTCAAATTTCCCAACCAAACTAGTTTCAAGTGGTGTGATCATAAGTTTTCTCTGCCTTAATCCTTTCACAGGAAAGGTAACCTAAGTTTTTACTCTAGGTTATCTGATGTTGACTCATCAGTTATTTTTTCATTATTCTGTCTCCCAGTCTGAGCCTTACAGGAAAAGTAACTTTGAAATAATAATTAGCTCTTTGTTTTTTGTTTCTGCTTTCTTTTATTTTTTTCATATTTTTTAGTTGTTAATAGGCACTTATTTTATTTACTTATTTTTATGTGGTGCTGAGGATCGAACCCAGTGCCTCACACATGCTAGGCAAATGTCTGATCTACCACTGAACCACAACCCCAGCCCTGTTTCTGCTTTCTTCAGCCCTTTTCTGTCTCTAAAATCAAGCTCCTCTGCTCAGTTTATAGGAACAACACATTCTGTTTCATGCAACAAAGTGTTGCTCGATTCTAGAATTGAAAATAAATCCAATTAAGAAAATTAAACTAAATTGTTGTAATTTTATCCTTTGATAGGATTAGAACATTAATGATATTTCCTAAAATATAGAGTATTAAGTCAAACAGATAGAAAATCATGGGCTGGGGCTGTAGCTTAGTGGTGGAGCGCTTGCCTAGCATGTGTGAGGTACTGGGTTCAATCCTCAGCACCACATAAAAATAAATAAGTAAAATATACGGGTTATGTCCATCTATAACTAAAAATATTTTTAAAAAATAAAATAACACCCTAGGAGAGTACAGTAAGAAGAAGTGACAGCATACAGAATACTACAGGGATACAGCCACAACAATGTTTATAGAAGCACAATTCACAATAGCTAAACTGTGGAGCCAACCCAGATGCTAGCGGTAAAAAAGCCCAATGGGTCCTATTGCTTAGTTCAGGACCTACAACTCATCAACACCTCCATTAGGCACATACATCCTTTGGTTCCCAACCCATACATCCTGCTGTCTCAGATCCCCCACACTGCCACCCACTTCTCGGTCACAGATTTAAAGGTATCTTTTTGCCTTTAACCTGGACTGTCCTTCCTCAGGGATTTTGAGATAGTCCACACCTCTTTGGACAAACCTTGGCCTCCGACCTTCAATCTTTTCACCCCCAGTGCCCCAAATCCACCCTCTTGCAATATGTTGAAGGCTACAGAGGCCCTCAGGGACTATTATCATCTGGCAAATCTCCTTGCCCACCTACAGGGAGGAAAGCACCCCACCACAGCCTTTAAGGCTACGGTAGCCCTCAGGGACTCCCTCCTTGGGCAGATTCCTAAAGTCCTAGTCCTCTCACCTTCGGGCTGCCAGAGAGACACTTACCCTCCCCTTCCTCTCTGCATGCCCTGCCTCTCCCCCTCTTTCCAGCCCTGGGAGTATCTGGCCTCTCCAGGAGGGGTCCTGAAAAGCCTTGGCCAAGGTCTCCCACGGTTCTGGCTCTGTCCAGGACAAGAGCTTCGACTGTCAGGATTCGGGGACGACCAATCTCTGCAGCTCGAACCTGCCACTTAGGCACTCCTGATTTTTTGGCTCTAGCAGGGAGGCCCCTTTTGCCAAAAAATCAGTTTCCTCCTTCTCTGCGTCCTCTTCCCTCCTCCTTACATGGGTAATGTGTCCTCTCTGCCAGTCAACTTTCCCCTACAATGACTTTTGGATCAAATATAGCACCCAGGCCTGGCCCACTTATCCCTTAGACAACCAAAGCAGATGACACCTTTTTGGATCCCTGGATCCCTCCATTCTAAGGGATCTCTACAATTACTGTGCAAAAAAATGGGTAGAAATCGCTTATGTCCAGGCTTTCTTCTTGCTCCGATCTAACCCTGCTCTCTACACCTCTTGCAAACCTCTACAAATTCTTCTAGCCCGTCCAAAGGGCGCTCAACAGATGACACAGTTCTCCTACTTATATCGGGCCACTCCACAAAAGGCCCAAATAGCAGTAAATAGGTCACACATCTAGGGTTCTCTATCTCTCAAGGGAAAAAGGTCATTACAG